TCCCACTTCCTTTAATTTGCCATCAAACAACTCGTTGATATGGTAGTCACATTCGATTATTTTCGTCCCTTTGTTTGTTCCCACACTACCAATTAGTGAAGTTGTATCAAACTCAAACCCTTCCTCATCTGGCAAATTGTAATCAACCCAACCTCCATCCACAATTTCTTTCTCCACTGAACTAGTTCTGGTATCTTGGGTTAGAGCAATCCTCCTGTGATCTACCGTGGCCCTGTTCTTCCTCTCTTTGCCTTGCAATCCATTGCATGGAGTTTCTCAAACCAGATTTGGCTTCAGAAGTTCTGTTGGCTTGTATTGAGGACGATGATAGACCCAAAGTATCATCCCCAATCGAAAAACTACACCTACATCCCATGTGATTGTTTCATGAGTCACATGAACCAGATATTTTTAACTTAACTGAATCGGCCTTTTCCTTGCCCAGCCCAGACCTGGTTTGAATTTGACCACTGGTTGGGTCATCAAATGATCATGTAGTCCATACCTTGGGTCCAACCGGGTACCAAACTGTACCACCTCAACAAAAGATTTAACCCCCGCATTTTTATCCACTTTTTTATTTTCTGTTTTAATTTATTTGAAAACCTTCCCTTTTCAGTTGCCCCAATTTCTCGGTCAACCAAAAAAGATTGTTCCCCTTCCAATTCTACTTTTTTCTTTCCTCACCTCCTCTTCCCTCATTCTCCTACCACCACGTGGGAACCAATTCTTCAGTTCATCATCATCTTCAAGCTTTCAACAGCCCTGCCAAAGCAACACTTCGACTCCCATCGCAAGCCAGAATTTCCCCCATCATCCTTCTACCAACAAATCACAAGAGCAAGGGATCAACTCTGGTTTAACCTGATGCATCTTAATATTCATGGCGAACATATCTTCAAAACTATAATCTTCTATGGTTCCCCCCAACACTGCTACAATATTTTCTAATATATCTTCCTTCTAGAGATTGAATGACAAACCCATCACCTTCACAACTATGCTCAAATTATCTATCTCTAATTCATTGCACGACATGTTCCATCTCTCAAACAACATCTGGCCTTCCCCTGTTTTCACCATTGACACTTCTACCTCTTTGCCTCTGATATCTACAACAGCTCTGTTCTTGCAAAAGGGGAGTAACACTGTTGTGTTTCTAATTTAGAGTTCTTTTAACACCTAGTCTAGTACTGACGACCAACCCTTCACCTTTCCTTTTGCTGTAATTACATATCTTTTGTCCCGGTTCCCTTTCTCTACCTCCATCAACATTTCATTGTCTGTGAACTAGTAACTAGCACTGCCTCCTTTTCTGTTTCGTCTCCATTACTGGAACCAGACTCATCTCTAATGGGGGCTTGGTTATTGTCCCTTCCCTAAAATCCACCGCCTTCTACTAAGACTTTCTTTATCTCCTTCTCCACATAACCTTCTCCAATATGATAACCATCTTCTATCCACCACTCTCCTTCCCGTCCAACAAACAAATCATTTGTTTTTTGCCTTCTTCGAATTCTTTTGTGACAGTTACAAACCAACCCTTCCTATTCCTTCGCAACATTGCTTCATACCTTCTACAAAGACTTTCTTCATCTCCTTCTCCACAAAACCTTTTCCGATATGAACCAAGCAGAGTTGTATTCTCTCTATAACCATCTTCCATCCACTGCTCTCCTTCCCTTCCAACAAACAAATCATTTGTTTTTGGCCTTCTTTGAATTCTTTTGTGACCATTACAAACCAACCCTTCCTTTTCCATCACAACATTGCCCCATACCTTCGATTTGAAACACACAATGAACTCTTACATCCTTGCTTCCTTTAAGAAAAAACTGCTCCATCTACAAATCTCTACAACCATTTTATAGCTTCTCTGGCCAAGAAAAGTGTAGCCTTTCTCTCCTCCCTAATCTTCAACAAGCATTGACCCTGGCTTCTATAGTCTCCAAAGATGAAACTTTTCGCTTCGACCTGTAGCTCCCATCTCCACTTAGTCACGTTCACAAAGTCTCCTCTGTAACCGCCTTCCATCTACAACGTCCCATGACCAACCTTAATTGCACACGTAAGACCAATAATAAGATCAGAAATACAAAATAAGGGGGAGGCAAAAGCAGTATCTATAGAGAAGAGGGTTCACAAGTGAACTTCCAAATTCAAAGAATGAGTTGTATCACCAAGAGAGCAGGGAGGAGGAGTTGAGACAAAGACAAGGTGAAGAGTGAAGACCAAAGCCTTCAGGATTCTCACAGAATAGGACTATGGTAGGAGTGTAGCAAGAGCAAGAGAGTCCCTCTATTATAAATTAATAATCACTGAGCAATGGAAGAGAAGACAAATGAAGCTGCAAGCAATGAAACTGATAAGGTAAGAAGTTCTAGCCCAATCGGTGGAAGTGTGGTGGCAGGAAGAATCAGAGGTAGAAGTGGCTCAAAAGGGTGTTGTAAAAGAAGAAGAATTAATATCTGAAACTCAAGATTTGTCAATGGAAGAGGAGGCAAGGGAGAAAGAGGTGGACACCAGACTTTCTAGTGAAGTAGAAGAAGGTGGTGAAAATCTGGCGGATGAAAGGTTGATTGAAGCAGAGAGAGAAGAGTCTCGTGAGGTGGATCATATAGTTGGCAGAGGAAAAGATATAGGTTCAAGCATTGGAAAAGGAACTTCTATTTCAAATTATGACCCTGCATGCAGAGATACAAAGGAGGATGTATCTTTTGTAAGGGTTAAAGAGGGTAAAAATGCAAAAGGAAAAAGGTTGTCACAACATCAACCTTGTTTGGTGGAAGAGGAAGTAAAGGAGAAGAAAGTAGATTTCAGATTAGAAGTTTGGGATGAGATTGAGTCAATCAGGCATTACAGGTGCAAATAGCATTGACAAAGACAGTGAATATTCTAGGAGAAGAGACAAAACTACTATTGTGTCAAAAAGACAAAAGGGATCAAACAATCTCCATTTGGTTCATTTAACCAAGGTTTTCTCTCAATTGAAGGACAGTTTTTTCTTTCAACCTTGGGATGCCAAGTGTTGTCAATCTCTATTCTCTCCTCTTTTTAATTAATGAGATTCATGTTATCCTATACTTCAAAAAGAAAAAACTTCTTTCAGTGTATCCAATGAAGATGGTTGTAGAAGATCAAAGGAATGACTTTTTTTATGAGGAGCCTTTTTAGTAGTCTTTGGAGGATAAGGGGATTGGACAGTGCTTTTTTGAATCAGATAAGAGTTACTTGGTCATTTGCTGTTTGAGATTCATAGCTTGACGCAGGATGGTATGTTTTAGAAATTTGTTGTCTGACAGGTGTTTGGTATTGGTTTTCTGTGGCGTTCTTCTTTTGGCAATTTCTTGTTACCTTTTGTTGTATACTCTTTTTATTTTAATTAAATTTTTATTTTTCTATCAAAGAAGAAGAAGAAGTAGAGGAAGAAGAAGAAGATATGACCTACTGCAAGTTGAAGGATCTAGAAGAGTTAGGGTCAAGACAAACAGGACATGGTTTGAAGTAGCCAAAGAGCCCATAATTTAACAATGAGTGTGGTACTGAACAAAGCAAAATGGCAGAAAAGGATTCATGCAGCCACCTCCATATAGTCAGAAGACTCAGAACAGGCTTTGTCGATTAATATACAGGTATAGAGGTGTACAAAAAGGACTACAAGCCCAAAAATTATTTATGGTGTTCACCCTCCACACCCAAAATGGATTGACATTTACACAAGGTTCAAAGTATCAATACACCCAATACACATAAACATGCATACTGGGTGTTTCGGGTGAATCAAAACCTTTTTTTCATTTTTTTCACTTTCATATTTTCACGGGAGGGGGGCCATTTTAATGCTATTTAACATTTCAAAAAATTTTCTGAAAAAAAAAAAATAGGCATATCTTAGTCCTGCCAATATGATATGATACGCCCGACATGGGGCATATCATATCAAAATTTTGAGCCTTGCATTTACATACAAAATCCCTCCGATTGAAGTCAGGGAATAGAAAATATTTTAGAGCCAAATATCATTGCTCCATTGCTTGAGGTAACTAGTGTCATCAAAGCAAAGATGCACAGAAGGCCTTTCTTACCTTCAAAAGATCTTATGTATCTCTTCTTTCAAATTTTCCAGTAGATAATAAATGGCATCCATTTTGATTTTTCCACTTTTGATTATGTCCACCAATTTTTACTTGGTTTGCATTCTAGTACATATTAAAGTAAAGGAATTAGAACTACAATGATATGGTACCTGGCTATGAAACTTTCACTTGATGCTTTAAAATAACTAATTATTGAAAGACTGACTCTTCACTTTTTTTGCCCAAAGAACCCATTCAACCTACAAGACTACAACTTTCGTGTTAATATCACAACTCTCTAACCAATTGAACTAACAAGATATCATTTCTGTCAAAGTTCAAATTTGTATTTTTATACGCTAAGTTTTTCTTTTAATTTTGTTTGCATACGTAACACCTCATTTCTTTCAGCTGCACTTCTCAATTTGTGTCTCGCGCCTCAGGCTCTAGGAATTCCTTGGAGTATACTTCTTGGCATCCAGTCAATCAACACAAAAAACAGTAAAACTTGGTTCCAACTCAACCAAGTCTGCAGCACCAATAATATGTCACATTCAAATGAAGCATCCTCTGACCTGGCTGAGTTAGATTAGCTAAACAACTGGAACATAAAGATGAGATAACTCCCAGATTTCCCAAGAACAACGGATTTGACATGTCTAAGCAGTTAATACCTTAAAATCAAAATCACATATTGAGAACCTTAATCGATTTTAAATGGAAGATTCGGAAACTTTACTAACAGAAAACAAACAATTATCCCAAACCTAATGATCTGATATCACCGGACAGTTCCCGTATAGAACTTGAATTAAAGAAAAATTTTTCAGAATAGAAGAAATGAAATAAGAATCAAGAGTAGAAAATAACGTTAGGATCAGGGAATGAAGCAAAAATTAAGGAAAAATAGAAGTGAGAACTCACGCGTCTCGAAAAAAGGGAGAATGGAAGAGATGAATTGGTAGCAGCTGCAACGACGGATCTCGATCTCGATGACGAGTTGAATGCACCCTCCACTAAATGCTTCAGGACGGCGTTCCTCATTTTTGCTAGTGCAGTTTGGGAGAAGCACGATGAGTTGGGGAAAAAGGAAGAGAATGGGAAAAGAACGAGGATCCTAAAACTCGCCCGTGCAAAGGTATCAAGAAAATAAAGCCACTCAGTGAGCAGGTCAGGTGTTTGAGTTTGAGAGCGTCAATTGTGTCGAAAATAACCCCAAACTGATCAGTCATTCTCCCTTTATTTTATAGCTCGGCTAGGAAGCACGGTCCGAAAACTTTTGGTCTTGGGCCTAGGTTTTGTATCAGGCCAAATAAAACCTAAGCCCCGGCTTGGTTCTAAATCTGGCCCATAAATTTTTAAGTCTACGGTAAGGCCCAATACTCTTTTTTTTGTTAGGGGTTATATAGGGCAACTTTTTGCCCTGAATATCAATAATTAAAATAGGATAATATTTTTATAAAATAATTAAAACAGGGTAATTTTTTTTAGAAAAATATCAAAAAAAAGGCAGTAACACTGTTCATCGTCTTCCTCTACTGACTCTCTCAAGAGGAAGATGATGGAATGATATTTTTGCCCTAAATAAGGGCAAAAAGTTGCCCTTATCTCCTAGAAACCCATTACATTATCCATGAGACCATGACTATGAGTGAATAAGTGATGGATGGAACAACTCTATCCGCCTCTGCAAGAGGAGAGCAAGACCGGATGGATGGATTTCCTTTTAGTTGCAGAGTTCTGGTTGTAACCAAAAAGGAAAATTTTCATGTCTGTCGCTGATGGAAAAGCGGCCGATCCATATTCCGATTACATGATTGTTGTAACTACGCTAAAAGTGCAATTTCTCCGGACATCGTCGGTATTAGACTGCCACACACCTAATTAATAGCATTTCCTCCTCACTCCTGAGTCCTGCTTATATGGAGCTTTTACTACTTTACTAACTACAGATTTGCAGTGGGGAATCCAACACGTTGGATTTATTCATGTCTAATTAAAGAAGACGACGAATCCGACGGTGTTGAGATTCGAAAAATTTTTTACGAGCACAACGGCAAAAAAAAAAAGTAAATTTGAGAAACAGGAGGTAATAGAAAATCTCACGTTGTCAGTGACGTCAGGAATAGTCTGTGGACACTCTCTGTCAATGTAAAGTGGACGTTTGTTAGTCCAAGCGTTCAAGATCTGTCAATAATCAAAGCTTCAACGACAGGCGGCCTTGCAGCGGCTGATTCTAATGGTGATACGCCCATGGTTGTAGGTCAGCAGCGGCGTCACAACTACTAACTTCTTCGTCCTTAATCTCCACCACCTCTGAATAGAATACCCACCTCTCCTCTCTAGCATTCCTACCCTGATGATGCCTCAACGCCGTGTGAGCAAGCGAACTCACTCCCTCATCACTATTATGTGTCCCATGGCTATAGGTGTAGGTTAGGGAGGATGGGGACAAGGAGTCCTCATCAGAGGACAACACCACACTACTCCCATCCCCAGCACACCCGCCAAGGAGACCATTCAAGGTTGCTCCGCCTCCGCCGTCGTCGTGGAAGAAATAATTCACATTGTCTTGATCAGGAACGTCTTTCTCTTGTAAGAGATTTTCTGGGTGTAATGGAAAAAGGTTGAATTGAGGATGGCTCATTTCGCAGGATTCCGGTGATTATTCCGGTAAAAGTTCACTCTCAAGAGTGAGGAAGTTGGATGAACAGTGTTACGTCTCTTTTTTAATATTTTTCTAAAAAAGTTACCTTATTTTAATTATTTTATAAAAATATTACTTTTTATTCATATTCAAGGCAAAAAGTTGCCCTTATCTGATATAATCCCTTTTTTTTATAGAAAACAATTGGTGCTACACAAGCCGTACGCCCCCAAACATTACTCAAACAAATAGAACTAAGGGCCCGTTTGGTGTATCTTTTTGTGCAGTCTTTCATAAATTTACAAGTTAGGGAGACCAATTTTTGGTCTATTTCCGTTTGGCTCGTGGAAAATCTAGCCGCTAAAAGCCATAGTGCCGAAAAGATGCAAAAATCTCATTTTGGGCTGATTTCGGGAAGCTCCAAATGAAGTTTTTTGCATCTTTCACGTTTTATCCTCGCGTAGAAAGACACAGAAAGACATGTCTGCCAAACATGCTTCGGGCTGCTCAGATCTTCATGCAAAAGATCAATGCATCTTTTGACTGTCAAACCTACCAGAAGATCTTCCCAAAAAGATGTGCCAAATGGGCCCTAAGATTTTTGGGAAGATTGCAAAGTTCAAAAGAGAAAAATCAAAAGCTATTCTTGCAATCCAATCGGCCGCTTGATTCACCTCCGTAAACACATACCCATAGCTGACTCTACAATCCAACTTTTCCTTCAACTACAAGTAGTCTGAAATAATATTTCAAAGGTTCCATGGAGGAGAGGTCATACCTTTGAGGCAATGAATGACAAGGTTTGAGTCCCCTTCGATGATGATAGGGTGGTTGCAAAAATTTGCCGCCAAGTTATGGGCTTCCCATGCTGCCCAGGCCTCAACAGCATTAATCTGAAGGGTGAGAGATCCATCATATGGATGGTCGAACCCTGCAGGTAAGTTGGACGAAATTTTAAAAATTTTTCTCTCTTTCATGTGGGAATCACATTCCCTATTTTAGAAAACTACATTTTCAAAAATCAATCTTGAACCTAAACCAGACCAGATCTGAAACCAAAAGGTAGGAGAGGGATATACTTGATACGGAGTAGTAGTAACCCCCAACGAAGGTGTTCATGCCCAAGAAAATTACCAAAAACTGCTCCCAGTGAAGATGACACAACGTAGGGTGGAGCAGAATCAATAAAATGGCTCTTCAGCAAGAACCTGATTCTTCACCAAGAATCTGATGGAAGGCGAATGAGCACGACTTCAGATCACCTTTTTCTGCCAAAAGGTGATATCAAAAACCGTTTCTTTATCGCTCCTACAGGTGGAGATCGAATTGGTAATGGCGGTACTAGCAGAAAAAAGCAAGAACAGAAGATGGCGTCAATCCAATTGTATGCTATCTTCTTTCTTATATCAAAAACTCTAAACGATGATTTTGGGGTTTGCCCTTCTCCTCTATTTATAACCTTAAAGAGAGGTTCTCCTAATTCCATTAGAAATTTCCTAATCCAAATCTTGTATTTAGATCTGGACTCTCTTTAAGAGATAAGGATAATTTCTTATCTTATCTGCAAATAAAAATCAACCCTCCTAATCCAATTATGAGTTTCCTGATCTAAATCTTTATTTGGATCTACACTCTCTAAGTAGATAGGGACAAACCCTTATCCTATCTGTTGATCTAAATTCCAGAACCACCCCTCTTTAATTAATCCAATTAAACCATTTCAAATTGGGCTTTAGGCCGATTAAGTCTATATGCTCAATTAACCTTCAAACTGCTGCCCAGTTGGATATCCTTGTATGGTGTGAGACCCAAATATTGATCTACACATCAGCCACATGAGTTCAGCCCAGCCTCTGTTACAAGGCCTGACCGAATTCACTGTAGGCGACAGTAAACCACGGAGCTCATCACCATGGGCTCTTAATGGGCCCAATATTAACACTAAATGGCCATTGGATCAAACCACCTTATAAAAACTCAAGGACTGTGGGCATATGCAAGATTAGCCCATCAGGTATTACCCTCAATGATCTTATACTTAACCTCTCAACCCATAATGATCAAACACTGACCGACAAGAAATGACCTCTCCCTTGGCCGCAAGGTACAGTGTTGCACTCTCTACTCACACGGATCACAGGAATTAAAACCTTTTGCAAACATTTTGAAACCATAATATAATATATATATATATATATATATATATATATATATATATATATATATATATATTTTGCAAAACAAATTTCAACGGTTGAAATCAACTACTAGCAGTTTTGGCTTCCATCAGAGAAATTGCATCCCCAATCGTTCACTTTGTCCGACAAAGGGGTTGATCCTGTCACTATGATCACCCACTCAGATAAATTCTCAGACTGTCCCAACATACCCAGGTTTTGTCCCCCTCTAAGGATCTCACTGATTGGCATATCAAAGACAACCCAATCCGACACCTAGTGCAGTATCATAATCGAGTCTAGGGGTCACGTGTAACATTCCAGTTTTGCCCATTAATCTCCAAGGTCCAGGGCAATACTGGAATTCTGGTCCGATTTAGGGTTTCAAGAAAAACCCACACTGCATGTACCTCAGGTCTCACCCTAGCAGGTGAGACAAACCACCCTAACCAACTTGGCGGTACATCAGTGTCAGCCTTGTCAGGATAAATCTCCCCAGATCTATCCAACGGCTGTGAAGATTCTAAACTAACACGAGTCTCATATGTGTCCAGTTTACGGGTATTACATAGAAACACACAATAATAATATGAATCAAATACTTTATTCATTTACATTAAATGTCATAAGGTATGCCATTCTAATTGGAGCTAAGGGCATACACTGTCTAACAACTCCCACTTGCACTTAGGATCAATCTGGAAAAAGCCGGAGTCCCAAGCTTTCCACGTGTTTCTCAATTAGCACATCCCCTCTTCCAACTATCTCCCGCAGTACGTGGTATTTCCTCTCGGTGTGCTTTGATTTCGAGTGGACTTATGGCTCCTTAGCCTGAGCGATAGCTCCAGTGTTGTCACACAACAATGGAATGGGTAATGTGCTGGATGGAACTACTCCCAATTCATGAATGAACTTATTCATCCAAACGACTTCTTTGGCAGCTTCACTTGCAGTAATGTATTCGGCTTCGGTTGTGGAATCCGTTGTTGACCCCTATTTGCTGCTTTTCCAGTAAATAACACACAATCCTATCATGAAAACATATCCAGATGTAGACTTTCTATCATCTGGATCTGACTACAAGTCCGCATTAGTATACCCCTGCATCTGTAGTGAACTACCATCGAATACCAGACAAAACTCTTTTGTCCTTTGCAGGTAATTGAGTATGTTTTTCACAACAGTCCAATGCTCCTACCTTGGGTTTGACTGGAATCTACTTACCACACTCACTGCCTGAGCAATGTCAGGACAAGTGCACAGCATGGCATACATGATGCTCCCTACGGTTGAGGCATAGGGAGCGTCCTTCATGCCCTCAATCTCTTCGGGAGTCTTGGGAGACATACCCTTGGAGAGAGTGACTCCATGGCTGAAAGAAACATTTCCTTTCTTATAATTCT